GCCGTCCGTGAACACTTTCCCTGAGATGGTGCAGTGTGTAGAGTTCCCCTGTGGTGTTGCAGTATATAAAGTTCCCCTGTGGTGGTGTGGTATGTAGAGTTCCCCTGTGGTGGTGTGGTGTGTAGAGTTCCCCTGAGATGGTACGGTGCGTAGAGTTCCTCTGAAGATGATCTTGAGGTCGCTGAGCTCTCAAACGCGCCTTGTGGATTTATTCGGCCTGTGCTCCAGGATTGCATTTACCAGTGTGTACATTCCTGGAGTCGATACGTCTGAGGTTTTCCACCGAATGTAATGTTTTTATAATATGAGTTATACACTGGGGTGGGGGGAGGGGGGTAAGTTCATATTTACTTAATATACCCTTGATAGAACGTTGGTCGTTATACCCTTGAAAGAACGAGCTAGAACGGTGGTCGTTATACCCTTGATAGAAACAGGTAGAGCAGTATTCATTATACCCGTGATAGAACCAGTTAGAGCGGTTCGTAGCTCGGAGACTACACGAGACGCCATTGTTGTGTGAACGGAATTGTTCGAGCCCTGACGCCACTTCGGGGAGCACGATATGAGCGTGTAGACAGTCATGCAGTTGTCAAACTTGGCTTTTCGAAAAGGGGGAAGAGTGGGTGGGGGGTGGGATGGTGCTTTTTTTCTTCCAACCCACTCTTACAAATAACGTTAATTTCTATCAATGATGAGTGGCAAACTGATGTTTCTGGTGAAATCGGATTAATAGGGTCACAGGCCACAGGTCACAGGTCACCACGCCACAAGCATTAACTTATGAGGTATGACGTTATTGTTGATGAGTTCTTTGACCCGGTTAAGCCGGTGAATCAAATGAGCCAGATCTTCCTAACTCTTAGCAAACGACTTATAGGGATTACCGGCAGATTATCCCACATAACCGATATTTATACCTTTTCCTGGCATATGATCCCACATAACGGATATTTATAACTTTTACTGAAAGATGATCCCACATAACTGATATTTGAGTTAGAAAGTCTCCGCATGTGACC